GTGCATGGGGGGGTGTATTATTTTATATGTGGGGGGGGGTATTTTTTTATGTGTATTATTGTATATGTGCAGGGGTAGTATTTTTTTATGTGTATAGGGGGCCCTATAAGGCTTCATTCCCACCTGTAAGTTTAGGTGCAATTAGGGATTCCTGCGTCAGGAACTTGAAGCAGGAATGCCTAATCTGATGTTTACAAGCCGCAGCTGTCACTAATTCAAGTTAATTATCAGGTGACAGCTGCTGCTGTATGTGACATGATTACATTTGGTTAGGAATCAATCACTCTCCCTGGACGCATCGATTGTGAGTCCAGGGATAGTGTTTTCCCACCACACGTAATCATATCACATACCATGCGGTCTGCAGGCGCTTACATGCAGCTGCTGTCACCCGATCACTAACTTGAATGGGTGACAGCTGCTGCTTGTAAACGCCAGATTAGGGATTCTTGCTGCAGGAAAACGCAAGTTCCTGACGCAGGAATCCCTAATTACACCTAAACTTACAGGTGTGAATAGGGCCTTATTGTGTGTGTATTGGTGTCCATAGTTCCATACCGGATATAGTTAACTTTAATTTTGAAGTATGATATTTGGCAAGCGGCCACCATGGGAGAAATACATTTGTCTAGTGGCCCCCGATTGAATTAAGTTTGAGACCCCTGCTATATACAATATATACAATATTATTTTTCACCAACAGTTTAATTTCAGGGTGTTCTTTTCTTCTTGGACCAAGCAATACTTTGACTGGGAAGAAGAGAACAACCCATATGCCTTGCCTGAAAATTAAACAATTAGTGCAAACAAAAAAAGTATTATGGACAGAACTCAACTGTGTTAGTGAAAATGCACTAATATGGTTACAATTTAAGTAAACATCACTGAAGCTGAAAAGGTACTTGAGCTATTTTTACTGTGACAGTAACACCAATGCTGGGACTTGTTTTACTCTATTCACACAGAACAAATGTTCACAGAAATGTGCAGGGCAAATGGCTCTTCAAATTGTTTATAAATAGACCACCAAGTCAATAAGTGTTCTTTATATTATGCAAACATACTGTACATATAATATATTATAGACTTCAAGAACACCATAAATACATTTTGAAACAATAAATAAAACATCGTAACTGACATCTTCATGGAAAGATAATCATGCATAGCTCAAAACTGTAACTTTGTAGTAAAAGTTGGAACAATAAATCCTTCCTTTTTACTATAAAAAATGACCAAAGCTTGAATGCAGTGCATGAAAACACAAGAACTCACATTCACGAACAAAGAGATTATAGCCAGGCCATTGGGGTTGCGGGATGCCTCGCTGACATTACTGTACAAATCCTGGTTATAATGAATCAGCTGTACCTGTAATAAGAGAGTGGTATCACACAAGGTCAGTAGCTAAAGAGAAGACAGAAAGTCAGAGGTCATAGTTACAAAGAGACAAGATGGATAAATAGGAATGAGAGAGATCAGGCATGGACAAGCACAAATTAATAGGTATATGGAAAGAAGAAAGGAAAGGAAAGAAGAACAGTAAAATTTGAACCAGCATGAGAAATATAAGACTTTAGAAGAACAATGTACACTTTTCAGAATTATACTGGTTATAATATATTATACATGCTTTCAGTAAAATATAATAGAGATAGATTTCTATATATTGTTTTCAGATCTTTGCATAAAACAATATATAGTCCAAAATAGCAGGGAAAAAACCCCCAGTGTACAGCACTCATTGACTTTACATAAAGGTTACATTTCTATTCATTAGTACATGAGATTCACGCAAACTAGTGATAACTGACTGTGCATTTACCATGCCATTATTGCCTTTGTACAGAATATATTGAGAATCCAGCGTGGACCAGAGCACACCACTGCTTTGCATAATAAACCAAAGTAAAGCATGTCTCATATGCGAAATGAGGGGGACACAGCAAGGCCCAGGGGAGATCTCCTTTCTGAATAGATTTTAAAAGCCTGAGAATAATCAAAGTAGCTGGAGTCTACCAAGTAATTTATTGTAGAATGGACCTTCCTTTTTAAAAAGCCCTTAGGCCTCATTTACACAGATGGTTGACTTTTCCACCCTCTGAAATGCGATCTGCAGTGGTTCGCTTTTTATAGTGCAGTTGACAGACTGTTCACATGCATTCAGGAGGCAATACTGCTACCTCCTGAAAAGCCATTCATTTTTTATTTTTTCCCAAATGGGATTTTACAGTGCAATTCTGCACTGCAACCACATGCCAAGTGGTGGGCAGGTAGTTGTGGTGCGGTCCCATTGACTACATTGTTTGCATTTGACAAGTGGCACTGAAAAAAGAGGCAGTTGATCCATGTGTTCACTGCCCCTGACTATAATAGTGGCCACTTAGCCTTGTGCACATGCCACAGCAAAAGTTATACAGCATGTCACTTTGGCAGGCAGTGCCAGTTGCTAAACTGGCTACTTTGATTGCCAAACGCAACCTTTGTAGCCAATGGGACTTTGCCACAACCACATGTCAACAGCTTGGAATGCAGATACAGCATGGTATTGTAATGCATAATCCCCCTTGGGATCCAAAAAATAAACCGACAAAAAATATCAGGCATTTAGGATGCGTCAGTATTGTCAACAACCTTCTGAACAGTGATCCATCACGGATTGCTTTTTACAGGGCAGTAAAGTCGGATGCATGTGTGACTGAATGTCCCTTACTTTTTTTTGTAAGACTTAGTTCAGTGGGAGAGTAGACCTCATCTTGCAACCAGCTCTATTAAATGTCCCCCAACTATGTGATAACCAGTTTTATGGCTACATGTTCTTTTGGTTTGTGCTGAGATGATAACATGATCTTTTGATTTGTGCTGAAATGTAAATTTCATTTATGCTTATCTTAATAAAGCATGATTACTAAGGATTTTTAAGCCCAAAATTAGCTTCAACACACACAGTAAAAAAAAAACCTTCTTCTACAGGGAACTTCTTAAAGTTTAAAAATGTAATTTTATAATCCTGATAAGCCTAAAGACGTAGAAACATTCCCCAGACTTGCTCTCATTTTCTGTGTGGTTACAGGGATAGGAAGTGATGGGAAAATCAGAAGAAACAGACAACAAGCAGAGTGGGGAAGGGTTAGAACTAGGCATGTGCCAAAGGGTGGGGAAGGGTTAGAACTAGGGATACTTGCCGATACCAAATACCAATACCGAAAGTTCCATTAAGGAAGCCGGGTGGCGTGTAATGACAAGGTGATGAGGAAGCATGGAGCCGCCTTTCTGGCCAATCAGGAATCCGGGGGGCAGGTAATGACTCACTACCCAACTTCTTGATTGACCAGCTTCCTGACCAATCAGGAAGCTGGGGCGGCGAGTCATTACCCGCCCCCCCGGCTTCCTGATTGGCTGTGAAGCCGGCTCCAACTCCCTTGACACCAGGTGACGAGGAAGCTTGAAGCCAGTTTCTGGACAATCAGGAAAATGGGGAGAGGGTAGTGACTCGTCGCCCGGCTTCCTGATACCGGAAGTTCCGATATCGGGAATAGAATCGGCACCAATACCGATAATAGATAATAGTATCGGTACATCCCTAGTTAGAACCAATGATGAGCCTGGGCTTGACAGAACCCGACACTGTGACCGACACCCCCCCACCCGGCCCAATCAGTTACAGCAGGTGCAACTCCTGTCCTACAGATATATGTCACAAATGGGTGGGGAATGCCCTCGCCACAA